TTAGCTGCACCAGTTTTACATCAAATGTGCAGGCGTAAATACAGTAGTTTTTACAGTACAGAGGGTCGAGAGAAGTGGAGCCCAAAGAGCATTATCCATCCTACAAAGAAGCTACAAACTACACAGGAATGTAAACAATCACAGAATTAATTTAAGCTTGGCAACATAAAGGTAAGTTAGATTGTGGACATGGAAAAAATGTCTAAAGTATGGTTAGGATTAGGTAAATGAAACACTTGTTCATGGTTAGGGAAACACCAGTGGTAGAAAGTAACTAAGTACATTTACTCAAGTACTGTACTTAAGTGCAATTGTGAGATATCTGTACTTTGGGTATATTGATTTTGTGCCACTTCATGCTTCAACTTCACTACAGTTTAGATGCAAATATTGTACTTTTCATTCCACTACATTTAATTTACAACTTTAGCTACTAGTTACTTTTCAGAAATATTACAGTATAATCATGCAACTTTAATGATCTGTGGTGGAACATTCACAAGCTACCAGCACTAAATCAAATAAGCATATGCGCTAGTTAAAACTGTACTTAAGGTTTGGATGACATGAATGTATCACACCCTGGCAGCAGTTTCAGCTCAGCCAAGTTACACTCTGGTCACAAAACCCGGTGGAAAATCAGAACAGCTGACTGCTCTGCCTCCTGGCTCAAGACCATGAAGAGACTACCTCAAATGGGAAAAAAAGCTCTTGCTTTGCTGCAATTGCATGCTCTGTTGTGACTGTTGTAAAAGCAAGATTAGATGAATATAGCTTCACACTTCTAGATAGTGGTTCTCCTTGTGTTTCCTTTCAACGTAGCCCTGCAGCTCTCAATGAGACTTCTGGCCGGAACTGCTGCACCTCTGTGCCAGTTCAAGGAGCAGGGTTTAAGTATTAGTGTCTGATGTATTCTCAGCAAAGTTTGCTTAAACCTAACAACTGATTAGACTTTGTAAACATTTGCGTTACTTGATACTATGCACGTGAGATCAGACTAAGAAAGAGAGAAAGAGGAGAGTCTAAATCATGACGACAGGCTCTATACCATCTACCTGATCATGAGGCCATCTAACATTAAAATAACTAACATTAGTCTGATGTCTCTAACTAAAACACACACATTAAAGCATAACCTCAAGGACCCGCTCCCCTTAGTTGCAAGTTTTTCAAAAGTCCCATCATCACAACCGATGACGATGACACTCGTGCAGAAAGAAAGAAAGATCAGGATGAGCCATTACAAGTTATTAGAATTCAGATTGTTGTCAGATCTTCATACATTTTATTTATATTTGTTTTACAATGTGCAGTGTTCTCTCCATGAACCTGGCTTTGTCCTGCTCGTCTCCCAGCTAGACTATGACAGATCTTTCCTGAGGAGATGTCCTACCTAGATCATCTATTTGAGCATTGTGGAGACATAATACAGCTTTTTCTGTTAGTGCATCAATTGCAACTTAAAGCTCCAGATGAATAAATCATGCATGTTTTTCAGTTGTGCACAAAGTTTCTTAAAAAAAAAAAAAATCAAGGAACATATTTAAAGAGAAACCTTGGATATTTCAAGAAAAAAAATTGCAAAACAAGTTTACTAGTTGCTGTCTCACAAGCAGCTGCAGATCTTATCACTGATAATATTCTATGTTTAACTCTTTCTTCTCCAGTGTCTCTGCTGTTGGATGATTTTCTCCTTGTCCACATTTACAAATATTAAATCGGCAGGCCTTAGAAGACAAGAATAACACAGTATAGGAATTCTTAAATTGAGTTGTGTTTATCCTTTGAGCCTTAAACTCACGGCCGAGGTCTGAGGTCACAAGTTGAATGGAGTGACTGCCTCATTCTCTGAAGTGTCAAATAAACATAGGTCTTTCACACGAAGTCATAATATACACAGCTAAACTAACAGTAAACATGAAAGAAAATGAGGGAGAGGTGTGAAGTTGGAGTAGACAGAACTGATGGAGGCTGAAAAGGAGGAGAGAATTAAAGACGTGATCCCTGAAGGAGGGATACACTCCTGCTGAGAGACTGAGATGATGCTAACCATGACCTTGTCTGAGCTCAGGGTATTTTCTCAACTTATTCCCCTGCTGTGTGTGTGTGCGTGCATTAGCTCGGCGTGGCCCCATTATTGATAGCGCTAACAAGCCTGGGTCAAAGGTCAGACAGCGGTGAGTGGAAAAGGATGGAGCAAGACTGTTAACGGTCATTTAAACACCACCTGCTTTCACACACCCACAGTGAATCCTGGCTGATTGTTACCATATGATAGAAAACACATCCCTAGTGCCCCTGCTCCTTTCCACACAGAGACAAGAGGTCTTCACAGAGATTCCAGTTTACACAACATGGAGCTCAACTGATTGCAATAACAAGACTATAATGCAAATATGTTCACACAACTTGTTGCACCATAAAAAAGAAAAGAGCAACTCCAGTTCCCAGGGGCTGACTTGCAACTTGTGTTTGTGCTCAGATGAATGAGAGTTTGTGAGAACATGTCACAGTAAATCGGCTTTGGGTAAATAAAGTCCTTCTGCCAACCAGTCTGATAACAACTATGGCACCTGCTCAAGAACAGCATGGCTGCGTGCACGCTCTGTATCCACTCCTACCTCCTCGCATTACACCAGGACTTCATATTTAAAAAAAAAAAAAAACAGATTCATTATAACCTTAAGTTTTGGTGCATTTTCAAAATTCTATATCATATTCCTAACAGTTAAATCATTTCAATATTTAAATTGGAATGTTAGACATTTAAGGTGAGTAGTTAGGTGAAATAAACTTAAATGAGCATAATTTATCACCAGTAAAACATGTTTATTTTTACTTCACCGTTCCTAAGAACAATGGCAGCCTCAGTAGGCCTCCATGCAGCAGCAGAACAAAATGGAATAGGTACATCCTCTTTGTTACAGGAAGCAGCAGGGTTTATGGGAAATGTGGTCTTCATTTTGAGAAACATTAGCACTACACCGCATGTGTGACAGAGACTGGTCGTCTCGACCGTGGTTTTACTGCTTTATTTAGTGTTTGTTTTTTTGTTTGTTTGTTTTTTTACCAAGAATTCAGATAATGTAGAGCTGGGAAATACATCAAGGCAGCATCATTTCATTATAAGACTAGATACTGCAGTATTACACATGTCAAGTTTCAGAACAGTACTTTTACCTGCATGTTTGATCAAAATATATATTTTAGTGATAAAACTGCAAACTCTAATGTAGATATTCGAAAAAGCTTGGGTCTGTAAAAACATTCCTAAGCTCCTGTGGTGACAAAATAAAGACTTAATGGGTTATAGTGCCTTTTACCACAACATTAATAACAAGCTACTAGTCTACACAAGTCCTGACCCCTCACCCAAAAGTTTCTTCTGTGTATTCGCTTTCCCTGACAAATGCAACAAGGTCATATTTTGACTGCTGCACTTGAGGCTATTTGAAAATACGCAGCTGAAATACAGCATGTTGTTCATAGCCACCTCTATCACACAGAGGGTCACTTTGTTCCACAGAGTGAAGACCTTCTAAAAACATGAGAAGTCTATATATTCTGCCTCTTGGCCACATAATGCATAAACACAAGACATACTACCATCATTACGCTGATGACACGCTGTCATACCTGCCCTTGTCCCCTGCAGACTTGAATGCATCAAAGATAAACACAGAGGTTTCACAACGTTCTCCAGTTTAATCATTACAAGACCATCTTTGAAACTTGGGCGACAGGTAGCATAGGCTCTCCTAGCCTCTTTTCCCCTGGCAAGCACTACGCACGTCAGAAATCTGGGTGTCATCAATGAGTCGGACCTAACATTTCAATACTTTCACCAGTATTACAAAACCACTTCAAGGACTCTTATCTCAGACAGATGCAGAAAAAACTGAGATGTGTTTATGTCTTGTTGACTGAACTATTTCTGTTCCATCTTCACTGGTTTGCCTACAAAAGACTGTGGGCAGACTATGGCTGTTCCAAAATACAGCTTCCAGAATTCAATGAGAAATGAGTGCATCTGTGCACCAGCTATGTAGTTTTAGAAATATACATTTTGACTCCATGTTTACAAAGCCTTAAATGGCGCCGCTCATCTCTCTGACCTACTCACTTTGTATGAACGTGTCAGAACTCTTAGGTCTCCTGGCTCAGGCCTCTAACGGTGAAGCAGTTTTCGTGGTCTCATCTGCTGGAGTGTGTTTAAATTCAGACATAAAAATTGCATTTTATTATTTTAAAGTGTCAAATCGATTTACTTGACTAGCTACAATTAACTGCATGTCGTGCATGTGTATGCTATACATACACACAGGACCTTTTTCTTTGCTTTCTGTGTAAAAAGGTAACAAAATACTAAGTTCAAGTTAATGAATATTTAATGCTAACTACACTTATTTCTTTTACTTCATTATGTCTTGAGTTTAGTCTCCAAGCTCCATAGTATTTTCTCTAACTTCTCAGTAAATGATCATTTCTGACATCGACTCACTGCCAAGCCCAGATTTGTGCACAATTTCAAAGACTCTCGTAATTTTAACAGACAAATCCCTCATTTACCCACTTCTCCTGCAGTTCCTTATTTCCATACTAGTCAGTCATAGTAATAGATAAGAAATGCAGCCCACCCAAAATCAGGACCCCAGAGATTTGTGTGTGGTCAGGTTGAGTTAACTGCAACCAGCAAAAGTGTCAGTGCAGTTACTAGTCTCTGCTGCTGCACCCTTCTATCCATCCCCACATTCCTCCTTTACAAATTACATTTGTCATTCTGAAAGCTGGTGGTTTACACTGGCATGCTTTGAACCTTGTGCGAGTGTGCACACATGCGTGCGCGTGCGTGTGTACGACACAAAACGGCCAGACTACACTATGGGAACATGGACAATATGTTTCTTAGAGCATCATCAAAAGGAGCAGTTTGTGTACGTGTGTGTGTGTGTGTGTGTGTGTGTGTGTGTGTGTGTGTGTGTGTGTGTGTGATCTCCTACCCGTTATTGTAATGTTGCTGTAGATGTTGGACAGTTGCTCTTTCAGGAGGACGAGCTGTGTGGAGGCAGCCTTCTCCCTCTGCAGCTCGAGCATGATGTCAGGATGGTTGGCCAGTTTGCAGCCGTTCTGTTTGTCCAACGCAATGTCACTGCGCACTATATCTGCAAGCAAGCATAGTCGAGAGAACAGTCATGAACTTGAACACTTATTTCCCCACAACAACGCCTCAATTATGTATCAAAAGTTAAAAACACTCATTAGTTGAACCTGTTTTAAAATGCATTTTGCATGGACCACTTGCTGAAACCCAAATTTTGTAACATATATTTGGTAGCCTACTTTCTGGAAATAGCACACCAATTTGTTAAATGCCTGCTGTTGAAAAGTAACATATGTGCTCTACCAGACCATATAACAGATTAAATAAACATCCTTTTGTTCTACGTACACCACTTTATTAGGTACAGGTAGCTAAAATTACAAGATAAGCCCTAACGTCTTGAAGGTCATAATGCTGAAACTGTGTGCTTATTCAGTTTCATAGACATTTGCATGCCCATGGTGGGGTGTTCCTTACATTTTGTCCACCCCATTTAGTGAGGGTCGCTAAATGAGACGCACCTCTCTAAAAACATTTTCATTAAAAGCCAAAATATTCATGAAGATGGGGTTTATTATAGGACTGATAGTTTTTAGCAAAGTATCCCTAATACAAGGCAACTTACTGTGTTTTACAAGGAAGCTGACGCTGTGTAAAACAAACGTGCATTAGAAGACAGCGTCATTCTGTGAGGCCTGCGCATCCTGTAAAACTCCGTTAAAATACACACGGAGGTAACAAGCAGGAGAAATGTCGTGCTTAGTCACCGTCTTCGTAGTTCTTCAGGTAGTAGTCCGGTCCCGGTCCTCTGAACTTGGCGAGGTTCTTCTGGTTGTTGAACTGCAGGAAGTCGGTCCTCTTTCCGCCAAAGCGCAGAAAGGCAGGCGACAGGCCGCGCGCCAGGGTCACGAGCCGCTTGGAGCTGCGCACACAGACAGAAAATACGCACACACTGAGGAAAAACTGCGCAGTCACAACAGTGCTTTATTATGATACTGTTTGTGTGTGTGTAGCTTCAGTTTATAACCACGCGCATATCCTGGAGGAGAATAAGTGAAAACAAACATCGTTCTTTCTTCACTGTTCAGGCTACTTGGTTTCACACCAGGGCGTCCATCTTTTTAAAAATGATTAAAATAGTGATTTAATTTTGCTGTGACTGTTAAAACACCGCTGGCCTGTGACAAAACAGCTGTCCCAGGAAACAGACCTCAACATCATCCGGTGGGAAAGACATGGACGCACCTATCGCAGGTTCAGCAAATAACACGAGAAACGAAGGATTAAAACACCCACACGTACCGTAAAGAGGATGGGCGGTTTCACTGCCCACCGATTTAAATTCGAGGGAGTTTTCTATTTGTGAGGACCAACAGAAATCGGAGCTTTCCCAATAATCTGTAGCATCTACTTTTGTGTTAAGCAGTTACAGAATAGATTATTTTTAAAAAGACTAATTGTCCTTTGTGGTGCTTTCTGTAAGTAAAAACATATTTGGCCTTGTTGTAACAGAGTAAATAAAATACTTTGTGTTAATATCTAGTGCATATCGAGTTTTATTTTTGAAAAATTAAAAAATCAAACCAGAGATTTTTATTTAGTTGTAAATAGTTGATATTTTCATCGTAGCCTACGTGGCAGTTGGCTTAAGCACCAAATATTAAAATGAGGGTGAGGAAGGATGCGTTAAGTCACAGCCGACAGGCCTGTGGAGTGCAGTGCAGACTGCTTGTTATTTCAGCCTAATGGGCCATTACCCACGAAGGCAAATATATAGGCTATAGCCTATCATATGAATTGCTTGGACATTGAATTATTAACACAGAACAAATTAGTAAGGAGGTGATAAGAGAGAGAGAGAGAGAGAGAAATGGTAACTGATGTGATTTGAACATTTAAAATGCATTTATTGCAAACTAATAACAGTTTAGTGTATTACAGGGGAAGATGCTCATCTCGCTGTTTTCAGTAAAGGGTTGACGACATGTACTGTGCAATTATGTTTTGCTATAGATCCTGTTGATTTAGAAGCCAAACTAAACAAGGTGACTGATTAAATTTAATATGATCAGAAACTGTTAATCTGCCACATAATCATTCATTAGTCTCGTCAGAGGTTTGAAGTAAAAGTTTATTAAATTCCTGATAAGTTGTTTTTGCCAAATTTTGAATTTTAAAATGTCTTGTTTCATAATTAACTGTCTAATACTGTGAGTCTCTGGTCAAATTTGGACTGCTCTGAGAAATTCACTTGGGTCAAAAGTCACAAACATGAATGAAAGAAAAAAAATCACACTGCATTAAAAAAGGGTGAAACAACATGGCTGGACCCAGGTGACACTGGATTTCTACTTGTTTTAAGGTAAAAAAAAAAAACCCAAAATCAAAATAACTTAGAAAGTTGACGTTTTGTATTGTAGACCAGGGTAAGGGGCACAAACGTTTGACAGATTTGATTGGACCATACTAGTGTACTGCCTTTACATTGCAACAATAAATGCAACCAAGAAACATAACTTTGGAACCAACTGTTCTTTCTTAACGTCGCCTTATTAAAAATTATGGGCTAGGTTAGGACTTTCCCAGCCTCAGTAAAAAACATTCAGTAATGTGGAGCATTGGACCACTGTGTTCTGGTTTAGGGGAAAACGTACCGACTCTCCCCGTGACAATTCAGACAACGTGGCTACGTGCGTAATGAATAAAATAACCGAACATTTTAGAGATGGACACCGATACAGATCAAAGTTATTGTTAGGAAAGAAAGCTCGTTGGTACCTCAGAAAGTCCAGCCAACCGTCTTTGATGATCGACGGGTCTAGCTGCAAAGAAAGGAAGTTGTCGTTGAGGACTCTGATCGGACTGCGGGTGTTGACATCCAGGAGAACCAGCGTCCTCTCCATGAAGCCCGGTCGCTTTCCAGCGGCTGCTGGCCTCACATATGTAGAGGAGGAAGAAGTGTACGAGGAAGAGAGCACCAACTGCACCACCAAAGTAGCCAAAGATGCCAGCCACAGGGAGGACCATGGGAACACGCACTGTAGGGAATTGGGCATCTTCTCAGTTTGGAGAGCAGGAGAATCTGTGCGCGTAAAGAGGCTTAATAAAAACAAATAAACAACCTCTGCTTCCTCGAAGTTCGATAGTTCTTTACATTGGTATCATCGATCTGGATCCGTCTTCCTGTCTAGTTGTCTCACCCCCTCTACCCCCCGCCCCCTCTGAGTATTTTTGGGAGCTGCACACAAGAACGCACGCCCCAAGCCAGCCTTCCCGGTCGTGAGAGCCAGAAGTTGGGAGGAGGAGAGGAGCACCGCCCATCTAAGGTTCTCTGAGGTACGAGTACAAACTGCTCAGAAGAAGTTTTCTCTACTCATATGGTCAACTATTTAGTGTTAAGAGGTGAAGGCTCACCGTTTTCTGAATATTGAAGCTATAAACCAGTGTTTTCTGATGAAATGAACATCAATGTGTTTTAGATAAGTAAACGATAGAAATATAAATTTGTAGAGAAGCAAGGCTGAATCAATAACGGGAAACCCAAAGGAGCGACTATTATCAAGAAATGGTTGCCCATATTTACATGTTAAGTCATTATATAATGAGGAAGACAAGCCTTTCTAGCTTGGAAGAAGAGCTATCTGGCGTCTGACGCACTGACTATTTCTTTTGTAAAAACAAGAATATGTAAATTATGGAAAGATTGCTATTAATTTGAAGAAAAACAATTGATGGTAAAATGAATTGCATAACATGTTAATATAAAGGCTGCGTAAAGGCTTATTGGAGGATTTAGTTAAACTCACCTTAGCACAGATTTATCCTATACATTCGTTTCCATGGCATAAATTCAAATGCGCATCCTACTAAGATGTGATCACTGACTAAAGATGATGCCTTTCAAGACTCCATAGCTGGCTCCACATTCTAAATTAAATTTTCCAACAGAAAAATGATGCGGTTAGGCCTGCAAGAATCTCCAGGCTACACGGTTCAAGAAAGCACAAAGAGGCCTGCCTCCAGAAAAGAAAAGATACAATCTTGTCAACAGGATACTTGATGTTTCTGGGTTCTGTAGATGCTTAAGTTGTTTTGACAAACAACTGAGTGATTGCACATTTTCAAGACGACTGACATTTGGAGATGGCAACATGAATATTTTGGCCCCTTTTAAAAGCATTCAAAACCAATTTTGGATTTAAGTTTCCACACATGCACCTCACCTATAAACTCTTTATGTGACTTTTCTCCAGATGTTCTTGGAGAAATGGTGTGCAAGAAACACACTAAACAAAGGACAGCGTGTGGTGATTTCTCCAGAGTTCCGTCTCCTCCGTGAAGTGAGAAGGTCACTGCTGCCACAGACGAGCAGCAAACTACACCAGAGGAAAATGCGCGGAGCAAAACCCACTTTGGTGTTTTTATCCCGACCTGCAACACCCACTCACGAATACATTAAACCGCTAAATTATCCAAGGTGTTAACGTTTTAGGTTTTACGCACAAAAGTTCCCAGCAACCGTATTAAAAGAATCCTGCTGGGTGTGTTTGGTAACGATGCATTTGTAAAAATTATTAATTCCTGAGCTAAAGGTGAAAAGGTGTGTGCACAGCTTAGGGTCACTCCTCAGAGTCAGATACGCTTCAGTAACACAGTTGTGAAACAGAGATTAAACCGACATGTACTGCATTTAGACTTCCAGCAGTGTCGTCTTTTTTTATCCGTAAACAAGCAGCGAGCCACATGTCAGATGAGCAGAAAACCAGAAGTTTACTGCCTCATGTTATCTCTTTGGCGCAGTTAGACATCATACTTAACATGTGGTTTCAATATAACCTAAGTTTTTGTTTTCAAAATAAAGGTGTTTAGCTTTTATATATTTATAGAATACGAGTTATAGCTCAAGCAAATGATAGCCATAGTTTTGTGAATGTTTATTTAATGAAAGTGAAAAGAAACTTTATCCTAACTGGGAACCAGTTTACAGAAAGGAAGACATAGATAAAGCATATGAGCAATTTTTAAATATATTTAAGAAAGTATATGATAGGAACTGTCCTCGTAAGCAGGAGGAGTTTATTAACACAATATATAGATGTAGTTTATACCCAAAAATTACAAAACCAAGGAGAGTAACAACCCAGCATGCAACACTAATAGATAATATATTTACCAATGTTATTGACAGCAAAATGACAAGTGGATTACTTATAAATGATATTAGTGATCATCTACCAGTATTTGTGGTTTATGAGGGCCAGTATAGAAAAGAGAGGCCAAAAACAAATCTTTTCTATAGGAGGGTGACGAATGAACATGCTGTAAGGAGGCTAAAAGAGGATTTTATGGGGCAAAACTGGGAATCAGTTTACAGAGAGGAAGACTTAGATAAAGCATATGAGCAATTTTTAAATATATTTAAGAAAGTATATGACAGGAACTGTCCTCGTAAGCAGTATAAAAACAAAAGGAATTACAGTGGGAAACCGTGGATGAGTAAGGGATTACAGAATGCATGTAAAAAGAAAAATACGTTATATAAGGAATTCATAAAGGACAGATCAAAGAAGGCGGAAGAAAAATATAAGTCATATAAGAACAAATTAATTGAGATTTTGAGGAGATGTAAGAAACTATATTACTCTAAAATATTAGAGGATAATAAAAATAACATGAGAGGTACTTGGAATATATTAAATAAACTGATTAGAAACAGTACCAGCATGAGTAACTACCCTTAATATTTTATGGATAATGACACACCGGTCAATAGATTTGAGGATGTAGTTG